ATCTCCCACAGGGCATAGTTAGCTTTTTCGACTGAAAGGCACCACAATAATGGTAAGAAGTAACCTTTCTTGTATAAGGTGTCTTGTAAGATGGTAAACTTGGAGGCTCTCATCCTGAGCTTCCTGTCTTTCAGGGGGTCATTTGGCAATAAGTTCTCTTGGAGGTATGTCCTTATCGGGGTCATTTAGTTTGATTTGGCAGACGTACAGTTGATGTTTGTGGCTTCCACATCTAGTCTGCTTGGTTTAAACTAGTGACCGATAAATGTTGGTCCTGGTGAGACTTCCAAGGATAAGGCGAGCCTGACGAGGGCATCGGCGGCCATGTTGTCCTCCCTCGGGATATAGCAGATCTGGAAGTGGTGGAACTTAGTAAGCAAGGTTCGCACCATAGCAAAGGTACTCCTGCATTCTGGCTCATTTTGCCTCAAACTCTCTCTTCACTTGGTTGACTATAAGTTGGGAATCACTATAAGTGACAAGGTGTTGGGTTTCCATTTCGATTTCCATCCTTAGACCAGAGATAAGGGCTTCATATTCCGTCTCATTGTTAGAGGCGACGAAGTGGAGCTTCACAACATACTTGATTGGAATGTCGTCGGGGCTGATCAAGATTAGGCCTCTTCCACCTCCTTCGTTGGTCAAGAATCCATCTATATAGAGCTTCCAGAGGAGTAGAGAGGAAGGCTCAGAGGTCACTGTGGGATCTTGGGTGCTTGGGTGTTTGGCCTGGGCGCCTGGGTGTCTTCGTCGGGCGTCAGATTGTTTTGCATGCCTAGGCTCGACGTTTGAGTGTCCGAATATGTTGCAGCTTGCTGGATTGTGGAAGGCTCGTTGCTCTGCTCCTCTGCTCATGCGAGTTCCACAATAAAATCTGCCAAGACTTGTGCTTTGATGGCCGCCCTTAGTTGGTACTGGATATCGAACTCGCCCAGTTCCACTGTCCACTTAAGGAGTCTCCCAGACACATCCGGCTTTCTCAAAACTCTCTTCAGAGGCTGGTCCATGACAACAACAACGGTGTGACTCTGAAAATAATGTCGTAGAGGCCTTGCTATTAAGATTAGGTCGAGCGCCATCTTTTCTAGCCCTGAATATCTGATTGTTGCTCATCGGTATGCTCTGCTCACATAATAGATGGACTTTTGTACTCTATTGTTGTCTCTGACGAGAACGGAGCTTACTACCGATGAGGAAGTAGAAAGGTACAGATATAAGATTTCACCTGGTGTAACATGTGAGAGGAGGGGAGGCGTAGTCAAGTAGGATTTGAGCTTTTAAATGGCTTCATCTGCATCAAGTCCCCATTCGAATTTGTCTACTGAGGTCGTAGCAATCATCGGTGTTGTGGTCGTGGTCACGATGGAAGCGACAATATTTATTCAAATTCTTGCGAATTGGGGGAGACTTCATCCTCCTTGGCCATTTTATTGTGGGGTCATCCTAAATCTCGAATAGGATGTGCCCGATAGCAACATTGAGAGGGGTGAAGGCTTGTCATTCTCTCTGAGGAACAAGACCAAGATGGTCTTTGGCGGGTACCCTCTCTGTCCTGGTGCGCTTGTTGCCACTCTCCTTCTTGTCATCCATGTCTCTCTCCTTTCTCTTCTCCCTTGTTTTGGAGGACTCACCTCGTCTGGCCCTTGTGGTGTCCTCAATATTCATGTATTTTTTAGCTTTTGTTAGCAGCTTTGGCATGTTCTTCGGTGGGCGCTTCATCACTAAGAAGAGGAAGTTTGATGACTAGAGGTCTCCCAAGAAGGAGATCATGGTGACTTTATCATTAGGCTCCTCTATCTGAAGGACCTCCTCGTTAAAACGAGTGAGGTAGCTCCTTAGACTCTCATCTTGGTCCTGTTTTATGCTGAGTAGGTGGGTGACAGGCTTTTGGTGGCGACATTCTCCAATGAAATGCGACATGAAGGACCTGCNCGACATTCTCCAATGAAATGCGACATGAAGGACCTGCTTAGCTCAGCAAAGGAGCCAATGGAGGCTGGGGAGAGCTTGGCAAAACATTGTCGGGTTGATCCCTTCAAGGTAGTTGGGAATGCCCTACACATGATTTCGTCGAGGACGTTGTGCAACTGCATTAAAGTTTTGTAAGTTTTCAGGTGATCAAGTGGGTCTCCGGAACCATCAAAGATTTCGACATATGACATTTTGAATTTCTGGGGAAGAGGGTAATTTGTCACATCTGACACAAAAGGTGTGTCAGTTCGCCTAACAAGGTAGTCCACGGTCTCCGGTCTTTAAGCCTTCATGGCGTTAAAGACGTCACCCAGTTGATTTTGTACTTCTTTTATTTTTCATCCCAGTGATTGGGAGCTCCTTTGAGATTGTCGTGAAAATAACTTTCATGCTCCACGCTTTGGTTTTTACCCTCATCTTTTTGGAAAAGAGGATCTCCACCATGAGAAGCAAGAGTTGGAGGTAGAGGTGGAGGTCCCTCATGGTGAGCTCCCCTGTGTGGGACGCCCAAGTGGGGAGCTCCTTGACCCCCAGGGCGCGAAGCTCCTCTGGCTTGGGGTCCAATGGGTTGTGCTCCTCCTTGTTGTCCGGCGAGCATCAGCTACAAGATTTGCTGGTTCTGAGCCACAAGCTGCTGCATTGTCTCCAACATCTGTTGTGTATTTGGAACAGGATTAGTTGGTGGAGGAGCAACCTCCTCTTCTCGAGGTGGATTATCCTCAGGCTGATTCATCGATCTGGTGGTAATCGTCATAGGTACAGCAAGAAAAGTGATTAGATGAGAATTTTGTTGATTTTTACAAACGGCGTTAAACTGATGATGTACAAATTGGGTTTGCACACCACCTGTCAAGTGATTGATAATTAATGCAGTAGTAAAATAGAGAGACACAAGCAAGATAAGGATTTATAGTGATTCGGTCAACGTGACCTACGTCCACTTTAAATGCTAGGGTCGCAGGGGTATTTTATTACTTCAAGTGTGTAGGGAGAGCAAAGAGTTACAAGCTGAGAGAGCTAGGAAAGATGTGCTCGACTGAATGTGTTCTGCCCCCCAAGTGTTGACGGGACTTACAATTTATAATCGTCTCTTAACAAATTGGGGTGACTTAATAGTAACTAAATAGTTAATCTGGTGGTGTTGGCAACATCTTCTCAACGGATGAGATAGTTACGGTGCTCTCCATAAGATTCGGTCAAAAGATGAAGTGGAAGTTAACTCTTTCTAATGTAACTCCTCAAACTCTGATGAACTTGATTGAACGTGGAGCACTTTGAACTGGACTCACTGAATCTCTCCTAAATCGAGCTCTTAACTTAAACTAGACTTATAACATGAATTGAGCCTTGAAGCTTGGCCCATCAATGCATAGCCCATCAATGCATATGATAGTGATAACGCATCAAGTCGAAGCTTAAAAAGAAACAGTCGGAAAACGCACACTTCCATGGATAACCAATCACACCGACGACATCGCCAGAGCAACTCTCAGCATTCAGCAACCAAAATTAAGCACTGGGATCCATGCACCGATATTTGGGTCCTATTGTAATAGAGCATCATGAACTTCTGCGTACACATATACTAAAGCAAGATGAAATAAGTGTAGATTAAACTGAAGCAAAGAAGTAAGAACATAACCCAGAGCATTACTACCATCCATAATAAGAAGTATTGAATCATAAGCTGAATTTCCCAAGCCAAGCCA